GTGGGTCCTGGGGTCTCAAAGACTAGGACACAAGGGAAACCCAAAATGTCACATAGGAGAAGCAAAAAGTATGTCTGCTAATCATCTATGAGAAGACCCCCCGTTTACTGAGCATTTACTATATGTCAAGCTGGGTGCCAAGTGCTTTATAGAATCACCTTCATTTTTCACAGTAGGCTTTAACAGCTCCATTTCACAGGGGAGCAAACTGAGGCTCAGAGAGGTGAATGACGTACCCAAAGCCACAGGAAGTGAGTTAGTAGGTGACAACGCCCAGGATCTGAACTCCAATCTCAAGCTCTTAATCTCAAGGGTATCCCAACTTCTTGGCACTAAACAGAACTATGTGTGTTTGGGGGCCTTGTCCCATGCCAGTCACCCCCACTTACCCACACAATCTTTCCTTATTCCTTCAGCTAAGTCAGAGACAATGAACAAGATTCTAAACAGGGAAAACACTATTTTTCAAAAAATAAGAAAACAAACAACCCAGTTAAAAATGGGCAAGAGGGGCTTCCCTGGTGGCGCAGTGGTTGAGAATCCGCCTGCCGATGCAGGGGACACGGGTTCGTGCCCTGGACCAGGAAGATCCCACGTGCCGCGGAGCAGCTGGGCCCGTGAGCCATGCCCACTGGGCCTGAGCGTCCGGAGCCTGTGCTCCTTAACGGAAGAGGCCACAGCAGTGAGAGGCCCGTGTACCACAAAAAAAAAAAAAAAAAAAAAAAAAAATGGGCAAGAGACCTGAACAGAGACCTCACCAAAGAAGATATACAGATGGCAAATAAGCATAAAGATGCTCAACGTCATATGTCATTAAGGAACTGCAAATTAAGATAGCAATGAAATACCACTACAAGTCTATTACGTGGCCAAAGTCCAGAACACTAACACCACCAAATGCTGCCAAGGATGCGGAGCAACAGGAACTCTCATTCATTGCAAAATGGTCCAGCTGCTTTGGAAGGCAGTACCTTACAAAACGAAACATACTCTTACCATATGATCCAGCAATTACATTCCTTGGTGTTTACCCAGAGGACTGAAAACCTACACACACACACACACACACACACACACACACACACACACACACAAAATGGCACATTAATATTTATGCCAGTTTTATTCATCATTGCCAAAACTTGGAAGCAACCAAGATGTCCTTCAATAGGTGACTGGATAAATAAACTGTGGTACATCCAGACAACGGAATAAAATTCAGCAATAAAAATCAGCCACCAAAAAGAAATTAATAAATAAGAAAATGAAAATGAGCTACCAAACCATGAAAAGACATGGAAGAACCTTAAATGCGTATTGCTAAATGAAAGAAGCAATCCATACATACATACTGTATGACATTCTAAGAAAGACAAAATTATGGCGGCAGTAAAAAGATCAGAGGTTCGGGGGAGAGAGGGAAGGATGAATAGGTGGGGCGCAGGGGATTTTTAGGGCAGTGAAACTATTATTCTGTATGATGCTGTCATGGTGGATACGTGTCATTATACATTTGTCAAAACCCACAGAACAAAAAAAAAAAAAAACCACAGAACGTACAACACCAATAGTGACCCCTTACTGAAATCTATGGGCTTTAGTTAATAATAATGTATCGCTATCAGCTCATCACCTGTAACGAATGTACCACATCAATGCAAGATGTTAATAATGAGAAATTGGGGTAAGTAGGGGGTACATGGGAACTCTGTACGTTTCAATTTTTTTCTGTAAACGTAAAACTTTTTTTTAAAGTCAAAGGCTACCAATACAATGGAAAAAAAATTTTTTTAATTTTCTTCTACAGAGGAAAAAAAATATTGCCCTCATCTTCATCCATGGGAAAAAATCTTGAGATATTAATATTATTACAGTTAGATTTGTATAACGTGTCATACCTTTCAAATTGTTTTTGTGCTGATTAACAATTTGATCTCATCCCATCTGCGAACAAGGAAAGTGCCTGCTGCTCGGGCCTTTAGTCCACAAACGTCTTGTCTGTCCACACCATGTGGCCCTCACGGGTGGGGGACACAGCCTAGTGCTGAACATGGATAGGTCTTCATTGCATGGATCACAATTTGAATGTGTGCATCTATTTCTTTGTTTACTTGTTAATCTCTGGAGAGGGGCCACCTCTGTTTTGTTGGCTGTGAATACCCAGTGTGGACTATACATGAGCGAGATGAATTCTGAGTGAATCAGAACAATGGCTCTAATAGATGCTGGGATTGCACAAAGAACAGTGGGAGCAAAGAGCAGTCTCAGGATTTCTCTCTGTGGCAATCCCAGAGGGCTTCCAAGTGGAGGAGAGTCTGGCAGAGAGCTGAAAGGAAAAAGTAAGGCCTTGGCAGGCACTAGGCAGGCATTCCAGGAAGAGAGACATCCTGGTAGAACTGCTGGAAAGGAAGAAGCCTGTCTGAATGTTAGAGCTGGAAACTAACTCAGAGAATGGCTAGTTAAGGTCATAGGGAATTAGGACACAGCTTTTGGGCAGTAATTTAGGGCAGGTGAGATTATAGACCTGGGGCCTCCTTGGAGCCAGGGGAAACAACAAGGTGCACCTTTATTCTCAAGCTTTCACCTAAGTAAGGCTAACAACAGAGGAAAAAGAACACAGATTTCCCCTTCTCTCTACATGCACATTCCCTGACATCCAGGGACGGGGAGTGTGGCCAGAAACAGGCAGGCCAAAGGCACAATGTCTCCAAGGTCAAATTTTCCCATCCTAAGCCATATGTATTAATTATTTTAAAATCAAAACAATGCTTCTCCCCGACTCTGATATCCTCCCAAAAATGTCTCCCAGTAAAACCGATGTTCAGGATTGCAACTCTAGTTTTTTGTCTCACAGCAGTAAGAGCAGGTAACGCTTAGACAGCACCTTAGCTATATCATAACTCATGCAATCCCGGCAACAACACTGGTGGACGCCAGCACCCCTATTTTACAGACACAGCCCAGCACACTGCATGGAGCAGCCCCACGCCAGACAGGGGGGCACAGACAGTGAATCTCTCTCCCAGGTGGCGTATCTGGCCCACAGTCTCATTCGTACAACGACACAAGTGTGTGAGTTTGGAATCAGGCGCTGCAGTGAACCGACTGTATAGTTTGGGACACGTCCTATTTCCCCACACCCTGCTTCGTTCTCTGTACAATGCAGGTTTTGTCCAGGGTGAACACAGTAAAAGTTCCAAACACAGTGCCTGGCACACAGTAGGCCTTCAAAGGGAAGAAAAACAAAAACAACCCTGTTTTTTTTTAAACCAAGCCTGTCTCTGAACTCCTGGGGAAATTCTCTGCACTAGAAGGAAAAAAAATGGGAGAAGTAAACAAACAACAACAATCTGTAACCCAGATGACCACGGGCCCAGCTGATGAATGAAATCTTGGCCCAGGGCAGGAATCAGCGCTCTGACCCAGAGAGGAGCTTCCTTCAGCCGACCCCACCCGCTTCCCCCAGAACATTCTACACTCAGCCAGGAGACCCCAGGAACAGGCCACTGGGCCCAGCCCAGAGAGGCACGCACCTCCCTTCCAGGCCTCTATGCACAACCTCTGAGCCGCACCCCTGCCCGGCTCCCACTGCTTCCCTACAGAGAGACCCAGAGCTGGCTCCTCTGCCCCAGACCTGCCTCTCTCCAACGTCTCTAGGCAGCCAGCCAGAGCCCGCTGGAGACAGGCTGGGGGGCTGAGCCACTGGTCCTCAGCCACGGCTCCAGTTTGGCCACTTTACGCTCTCTTTCCTTAGGCCCCTGCCTGGACCTCCTGCCTCCAGTCCTGGTACCCACTACAGATAAACGAGTCTCTTCAGATAGTCATGAAGCACTCCCCACCTCAAGCACCTTCAATGGCTCCCACTTCTCCCTGAATTCAGTTTGGAGTCTGTATCCTGGGATTCGAGACCCTCCACGATACAGCCCAAACCCACCCTCCAGTCCCAACACGACTCATACATCGCAACTAAAATGGATTATACCAAGATTCGCACACATGCACTTGCACACTTGCCAGTTCCGTGGCACCCTCTCCCGCCTCCACCTAGCTGGATCCTACCCCTCCCCCACCCCTGCTTACTCCTCCAGGAGCCGTTTCCTTTCCAAGCCTGTGAATTTCTCCAGCACGCTCTTCCCACACCTCAGGCGTTCCCATGCCACCTGCCATCCGTACTACTCTTTACTTAATATTTTCCTTTAAATCAACACACTCTTTTAGTTAAATTTATTTTCAAAGGAAACTTTATAACTCCACCATAAACAGCAAACTGTATCATTTGCTATAAATAGAAGGGAACTTTAAAAAGTTACGTTCTAATGCACATGAAAATACATAGTCATTAAAATGTTTTAAGTGCTCGTCTGTAGAATATACTTAATATTACTGTATAATATACTTAAAAATCCTCTCACACTCTAAGAAACGTCGCTTTGGCATTTCTTTATTTTTGCCTCCTTCTGGCCCTTGGTTTTTCTGGTCCTGTCCCACAGTTTTCTGAGGACTTGTCACAGTCTTATCCTAGTTGACCCCAAACAACAGCACTTGGGGGGCTGCAGCCCCTCTTCCAGTGCCTACACACAGCGTGACGTGCAATAAAAATATTTAACGAAAGTTCCATTTGCTCAGTTATAGTAACACGGCCCCTTTCTCCACCTGGCCCTGGGCCGATCCACAAATCAACTTTCCAAAATACACATCCCCTCCTCCAGCCACCCCTAAACCCAGCCCTGTCCACTGAGGTCTCTCAGAGGATGGTACAGCGAGTGTGGCAACTGTCAGGGAGGTGCTGAGGGGCTCCCCCCATTCTCCGACCCCTGCCACCTCTTCCTGGGAAGCAGCAGGCCCTGGGGTAACCCGGAAAAACAAGTCAACCATTAACGACACTCTCCCAGCACAGACACACCCTTCCCGAGTGTTAGCAAAGTTCTGGGAAAACTCCTGGCTCCAGAAAATACAAAATCTTCCCGTCACCTCGTTGCCAAAGACCCCGAAACACCTACCGGGAACCGAGGGGACCTGGCCTGGGCCTGGCCCTGCTGGCACCCCAGGCAGAGGAGGTCCGGCTCCCGCCCACCACGTGTTGCCAGGGGCGACCCTGATGAAGAGGAATCACTGGGACTTAAGTCAATAAGCGGCAGCTGCGGGTAGGCCCAGCTGGAGCCAAACCAAGGCCTGGATTCTCCTCGGTGGACGGTGGAGGGAAGCCCAGCTGAAGCCCGCCCTCGGCCAATCACGGGTGACCAAGTCCCCCTAATGACATCTTCTAAAACTGAACAGATAAGGGACACTCTCTATTAGCGGGAGGCCTCCCTTGGGAACGTTTGCATTCTTTTTGTTTTTTTCTTTTTTTAAAGTCTTGCCACTTTTACAAGTTTTAAGGATTTTGCTGTTGTTATTTTATCTATTTATTTTTTGGTTATCATTTTATTTTATTTTTTGTTGTTGTTTCTAAAAAGGGCACATTTTATGGAAAGGTATCAAAGCCATTCATTCCAGGCAGTGGTCATACGTGAGGTGTCAGCATCTCATGACTTCCTGAAACTTCAGCTGCTGGGGGCGAGGCAACCACCTGGGTGTAGCTCCCCAGGAAGAAGGTTTACCGAGGCCCAGACAATGTGACGAATGCCGCAAATGGAGTGGCCCCCCACATGCAGCTCGAGGAGGACAAGGGTCACGAAGGGACAGCCTGACACCTGCCTGCAGGGAGAAGGAAGGTGACAAGGATCCCCTTCTTGCCCTTTTCATAGTGCGAACAAGCTAATGACAGAAACAAATGTGGTGGTGAGAAAAACACCACATCTAGCAACTATCCCTCATGGGGGACAAAATCAGGTGCTACAAAGAGGGATGGATGGACGTAATCATGAAGAGGTTCTCAAACTGGGTGCCATGTACCTCACTGGGGCTGCTGATGAATGCGGGGGAGGTGGGTAAAGGCGATGTATTCCAACCTAGCCCAGGGCAATGCTGCTCTTGTCAGCTTCCTCTACTGGAGTTTCAGGGAAGACAGCCTTTGAAGAGAATATGCTGTGGCTAAAAATGTCGAGAAGTGCTAATGTGTGATCCCGGTTGCATCACGTAGGAGTGATGTGAGTCTCTCTGAGTCTGTGGAAAGCGGTCGCCACATACCCAGGTGTGCCGGGAACCCACTGGTCCTGCATCCTGAGTGGGTGCTCTGACTTTAGCAGAAGCGACAGGTCCAGCCTGGCCACTCTGCCCTTCTCCTGGCAGGACCACAGGCTGGACACTGCAGGCACGATCAGGCCAAGCCTTGAGCTGAGTCAAACATCCAGATAAGAGACTCCATAGCGACGGGGGCCCAATGCAGACATTAGAGGCGGATTTGTGGATCCGGGGACCAAAGGCCAAAGAGAAGCGAAAAGTGGTGTCAGTGGCTGGAGGCGGCCTCTGGGACACACACGGTGGAGAGAGGTTGGTTTCCACGTGCTCCCGGCAGCTTGCTCCACAGAAAGGCCGACTCTGTTTGAAGGTCCAGGATGGACCAGACCTGAGGATGTGAATAGGCTCGAGGGTACACACTCACTCAACAGAGAACAGCGGGTGTGCTGCTGCCCTGCTATGCAGTTGGCGCCCTGAAAGCTGCCTCCAGACGGCCGGGGCCTCTGCTGGCCTTTCACGATGGACGTACATTCTGTCTGCCCAGCATCCCTCTCTTTGAGAACGACTCCCCCTCAGGGCCAAGGAAATCATGCCCGGTTCTTCTGGGTGGGAGAAACAGGCCCTTCCTTCCTCTTCCTCAGGGTGAATGTGACTGGGGCCGGCTGATTAGAATATCCCCACCCGCTGGGCACAGTGACTGACTGAGGCCCAGCTCCCCTGGGCTCTCACCAGAGTTACTGAGAAGTACCCTCTTTCTCTGTGACAGCAAGCTATGAGAGCAATGTTGGCCTGAGATGGCCAATGGCCATCTTGCTGCCACTTGGAAACAGCCTGAGAATAAAGCCAAGCAGAGCTGAGAGAGGGACATAATCAACTGCTGGATCCAGCCATGCCTGAACCACTCTTTTGGTTCCAAACTTGCACATCAAGTGTCCTGGGTATGTCACCTATCCAGGAGCGGGAAGGGATAAGAATGCACCACATGTACTAACCTGAGTGAGCCTGATGTCTTAACAGAAATGACAGGAGCCCTGGAAGTAAGCTTCCTGCCCCCATGCCAACTACCGCTTTGGAGCCTGTGCCAGCAGCTGCCCGGCTCAGGGATGTTAGGGCGGCAGTTGCTTTCCTCTGAAGCGCCCAGTGCTCATTCCTAGGCTTCCTTTGGTTTCTCTGCAGCAGTCACGTGGTCCACAGAGAGCCCCTCCACTGGGGCCTGCTTCCACGGTCCCTAGATGATGTGGCAGCCTCCTCTGTCTCAGCATCCACCAGACCACTGCAGGAAGTTGACGCGCTTGTTCACACCTCCAGGGACACAGGAAGCTGCCCTGGGTCATCCCAGACCCTTGGCTCATCTCCCAGGTTCCAAGTTCAGGCTCCATTGTCCACCTCTGGCCACCCCAGGTTGGCCGGTCTTCTGGGCTAATGCAACCAGAACGAACGTGGAAAGGAGGACTCGCGTGCTGGCTCGAGAGCCTTCAGCACCAACATGTGAGGAGCGTGTGTATCCGTTAGCATCTCTCCACCCTGCCTCATCCTAGGATCCAGGAATCACAAGCAAAAAGGTCCCATTGCCATTGCATCTCCTCACTCTCCAGGCAAAACCTCACCGGGTGGGCCTGAACAGTGAAAGCAGGCGCCAAACTGCTTAACAAATCCACACATAAGGGCTTCCCTGGTGGCGCAGTGGTTGAGAGTCTGCCTGCCGATGCAGGGGACACGGGTTCGAGCCCTGGTCCGGGAAGATCCCACATGCCGCAGAGCAACTAAGCCCGTGTGCCACAACTACTGAGCCTGCGCTCTAGAGCCCGCGAGCCACAACTACTGAAGCCCGAGCGCCTAGAGCCTGTGCTCCGCAACAAGAGAAGCCACCGTGATGAGAAGCCCGCGCACCGCGACGAAGAGTAGCCCCCGCTCGCCACAACTAGAGAAAGCCCGCGCACAGCAATGAAGACCCAACACAGCCAAAAATAAATTAATTAAAAACAAAAGATAATATGCTACGTGTGATCAACGCACGTTCTGTTTAAAATGAGAAATATGTTGGCCACAGTGCTATTGGGTAAATCAGCTACACAGAGCCCCTAGAGAGCTGGGCCAGGCTGGGGGCGGGGGAGGGCAGAGCATGGCTGGGGGTGAGTCCTGGGGCCAGAACCTGAAGAGTGTGGTCCCCAAGGGTCAACAGGCACAGGAGAGGAAGGAAGGAAACAAAGTCCAGGGAGCCCAGGCACTGCCTCCACCACCCCCAGGCCAAACTGGGGCCTCCCTGATTTCCCCAGCTCTCCCACCAGCCTGCCCCTGCCTGCCTGGGGCCCCTCCCACCCCATCCCTGCTCCACTCACAAACCTGCTGCCCAAACCAAGCCTGTGGGCAAAGCTCCAGCAGCTGACTCAGACTCACCTTTCCTGGTGTGCTCCCTGCCACTGCCCTAAAAGCACCCCGAAGTCATTCTGGCTCCTCTCTCCTCCAGATCTACCTCTCTGCCTCGGTTCCTGCTGCCCCCAGGGCCCCAGATGTCCCCCTCCACCTCATCCTTCCAGACCCAGCAAAGGGTCCTGCTACACCATGGAGCCTGCCTTGCTTTCCCCTTCCCTCTGGTAGCAACCTCTCCTCCCCTGAAGTCCCTTAGCTCCTTGCCTGTCCCCTCCCTGTAGCACTGAGCATTTGACACCTTATATTTATGTTCTATCTTCTACTGGGCAGTCTGCAACCGCTTCGCCTCTGCACTCCCTTTATTCTTTCAGTCATTCATTCCACAAATATGTATTGAGCACCTACCATGTGCTGGACCCTGTGCTAGGGCTGGGGATACCATGATGAACAAGACAGATACTGTCCCTGCCACCTTGGAACTCACATCTCAGTGGGGGAAACACTAAACAAATAAACGTAAATAAATATATCCGTATGTGCTGTGATACAGGCCCTGAGAGAAAGGTGCAAGGGGGTGTGATCTGTGAGCTCTGACGTAGAGAAGAGTCAGGAAAGCATCTCTGAAAAAGCGATGTTAAACTGGGATGAGGCAGGTGAGCACAGTGGGTCAGGCACTCTTTCTAGGCACATAATAGGTGTTTTCTAAATATCTGTGGAACAAGTAAATGACTGTAATGAGTCCGAAATTCCTAGTATGTCCCCTGTGTCCCTCCAGACACACTTATGACCCGTCATCACCCTGATGGGTCCCTCCAACTGGCACCTAGAGGCGGTTTACAGCAAACACACCTCCTATGGACAACAGGACAGGGTGTCCACTCATGTCACCCCTGCAGAGGTGCTTGCCACGGCTTCCTGTGGCTCTCCACTCAGAATTCCCTCATGACTCCCAATACCACCATCACCCCCAGAGCTGGAATAGCAAGCAGGTGGTTTTGTCCTGTATGCCGACTCCACACCGTTGGTAATAGCCGCCTGGAACACCATGCTTGAAGGACTCTGCAAGGCTCTCTCTGGCCTCAGTGGGAAAGGACGGTGATCAACTAGTGATGTCTAGCATGGGAGGAGGAACAGAGAGCAGTGGCACATGTGCCACGTATTTCCCTTGCCCCTCAGGGTCTCGTGGATGACCACCCAGGCAAGAAATTCCCTTCAGATCTAATTGCCTGGAAAAGCACTCAGCGTCTGGCCTCCGGCTTCTTATGGACCCCATGAACCGTGTAAATAATACAATTTTTTTCCTGCTTTGATCACTCATTAGCTCAGAGCTAAATCTGCGGTTCAACCATAGTAAAGTGGGCATAGCTCTATGGCCTGAATGTGTGTCTTAACTCTCTCCCTGCTTGTGACCTTCCAGTTAATCTATGTTTTCCCTGATCTTATTTTTATGGGTTTCTATTTAATTACATACACACACACATATACAAGCATATCTAAAAAATATCTGTACATAGCTCTGGCATTAAGTATCTACTTTATACCTTTTTATTATAAATACACTTTTCTCTAATTTCTTATATAGTCCAGATATATAGAGAAATATATGTTCTGGTTAGTATCTCAATTCCTTTGCA